AACTATACTTTATTCACTTTGTATCCCCCCATAAACCCCTCCCTCCTCCCCTCCCGATCCCACCCTCCCTCTCCCTTCTTCACGCATGTCCCTCCTCAAGTCCACTGATATGGGAGGTCCTCTTCTCCTTCCTTCTGATCTTAGTCTATCAGATCACATCAGGAATGGCTGCATTGTCATCTTCTGTGGCCTGGTAGGGCTGCTCCCCCCTCAGGGGGAGGTGATCAAAGAGCAGGCCAATCAGATTATGTCAGAGGCAGTCCCTCTTCCTATTATTATGTAACCCACTTGGACATTGAACTGTCATGTGCTACATCTGTGCAGGGGTTCTAGGTTATCTCCATGAATAGTCCTTGGTTGGAGTATGAGTCTCTGGGAAGTTCCCTGTGTTCAAATTTTCTGGTTCTGTTGCTCTCCTTGTGGGGTTCCTGTCCTCTCCAGGTCTTACTATTTCCCACTTCTTACATAAGATTCCATGCACTCTGCCCAACAGTTGGCCATAAGTCTCAGCATCTGCTTTGATAGTCTGTAGGGCAGAGGCTTTCGGAGGTCCTCTGTGGCAGGCTCCTAGGTTGTTTCCTGTTTTCTTCTTCTTCTGATGTCCAACCTCTTTGCCTTTCAGGATGGGGATTTGTCAGTTCTTCTAAGTCTAATAGAAACTATTTTTGACAAATATCTGTCGACTTCAAAAAATACTAAGCATCCAAATGAACCATGTCTATTAAACCAACAAACAAACAAAAACATACTGCTGCTACTAAAAATCAGAATTGGTTTCTACAATGAGCTCCCAGAACATGTAAAGCTAAGTGAATAAAAGGAAAAATCAGCTGATTACATCAACTGGGAAAAGACATTGCATCAAGAACTCCCATCTGGAGAGAAAGGACTGTCAGGTAGGCCTACCCATTTTTTGTTCTATCGCGTGTGAGGAGGAAAACATTTAGCTTTGTTATTTCTCAACTCAAACTTGTACCAGTTCTGCTAGAGACACATCCTTCTGGACTTCGGAAAAGCTGGGTGATATGTATTTTCAACTACAATGACAGTTGGGTACCCCAAGTAACTGGGTTGAAAACTCTGCTGACAAAAATTCTAATTCTCATTTTTTCTATTTCCTAAATATTTTTATGCTTAAATGCTTTAAAAATTGTCCAAGGCATTTGGAATTAAAAAAAATTATCTAAATGACAAATGTATTGCCAGTCTAAAGTCCAAATGAAGATACTGCATCTTTATTTCATCACTCTTTTTTGTCTATGTCTATTTGCCTACCTGAGCTTCAAACCTTACTTGAACCAAGTCATTATGTTAAAGATTTTGTGACTCAGCGGGGAAGCATGTGGTTAGTCTGATTAAGGAACATGATAAGTGCTGTATTTTAGGGTTTTGAAAACACTGTTGATCAAGGGCAAGTTAGGGAGGAAAGGTTTTGTTCCATCTTACATTTCCAAGTCACATTTTATTATTGGGAGAAGTCAGAACAGGGATCTGGAGGTGAGAGCTGACGCAGGCCAGGGAGGAGTGCTGCTTATGGACTTACTCTCCTTGGCTTGATGGCACCCAGGTTCATCAGTCCAGGGGTTGTCTCACCCACAGTGGGACCTCTCATATCAATCATCAATCAAATGCCCCACAGACTTCCCACAGGCTAGTCTCAGTGGAGGTTCTGTCTTTCCAAGTGACGTTAGCTTGTGTCGTACTGAGATAAACCTGCTGCGAGGTAAGTCCACCCAGAGGCTACCACACTGATGATCTTAAAGCCAAAAAGAAAGTCTTTATTGCTGGCTGATGATTGCACAGGGAACTTGCCCAAATCATAAAGCCCTGAGCCTCACAGGTCTTCGGCTTTCATACAGAGAACCCACGCCATGGTTGACATATTTCAATTAGCAAGAAGCAGAACTATGGAAGCCAAAAAAGTAAGGTTAGTACATTCAGGGATGTTTTATTCAGAGACTTTCTGGGAAACCATGGACTTGGTCTTTGTTCCTGCCTTTGGCAAGTTGGCTAGACCCTTGTTCCTGTTTTGTCAGAAATTGCAGCTTACTGTGTTTCAAGGCCTGAATGGGGCTTCTAACCTGGTGTTAGTTTTGCCACGGCTTTGGGACCCTTACAAAACTAGCTAAGACAATGACACATACATAGAAGTTTTGGTTGATTAAGATGCTGATTTCCTTCATTGGAATATCTTTACTTCTTTAGTCCATGATGTGTTCTTGATTATTTGAACTTTAGATATTGTGATACTAGTATTAATGGTCAACTTGACACAACCTAGAATGATCCAAGAGGGAAGCCTCAGTGAAGCGTGTCTATATTAGATTGGCCTGAGAACATGTCTGTTGGGAATTGTTTTCACTGATTTACATTGGAAGACTCACCCTAAGTAATTACTGGTAATGGCTGTTCCATAAAGGAATATGGAAGAAGGGAACATTTTTTTCTTCACTCTCATTGGCAAGTTCATCTGTGTTGTTGCTGCTGATGTTGATTGCTTTACAGATATTAGAACTAGCCTCTTTGGGCTTCCAATATGGAAGGAAGATCATTGGTTCTCCAGGAATCCTCTAGGCTTTGGCAATATATTGGAACTGCCAAGGCACCTAGCCTCAAGGGTGAGAAACTAGTGATTTCTTGATCTCCCTGGTGGGAGACAGACATTGAAAAACTACTCAGACAACATACAAGTGCATCTCCTTTTAATATGTATTCATTTTGTTGGCTCTGGTCCTCTAGAGAACCAGGGCTAACACTGATAATGTCTAGCTCTCTATGAATCAGGAAGAAAAGTCTTTCGGGGGAAGGAAAGGCAGCTAAGCATAGGGAATGTCTTAGCAACCCAGGACTCTGATTCATTTGGACTACGTACACACTCCTTCTCTGAAGAGGGGTGTGCCAGTAAGTACCTCCGCCACCACTGTGGTGGCAATCAAAATGGTAGCTGAGGTGAATGAGGTCAAAGAATTGTCCGCTGTCCCCAATCCTTGCCACCCTCCTCCCAGCCCCATGTCAGCTGTCCTGTAATTGAGCAGTCCAACGCAAAAGCTTTTAAATGGTGCGCTGCCAGGGCTGTCAGAGTTCCTCCTTTCCGCCTAAGGATGCTGAGACAGGAGCAGACAAAAGGGCGGCTTCTGTCAGAGTGGTGACACCTCCTCAGAGGGAGCTTCGAATGTTGCTTCAGCCTACTGCCATCATGGGAACTATTCGTGATGATAACAACCTTTCCTGCCTCAGCCTGCTAGTCATGCCGCAGGGAAAGGCTTTCCTGCCATAGACTCCCTTTGTAAACTTTGTAAACTCTCAAGGCAGGAAAGTGGCCAGACCCCTGCCTAAGGAAGCTCCAGTTGCCCGGCCCCTCTCCCAGACCTCTGTAACTGTCATCTCCAGCCCCTCAATAGCACTCATCCCAGATTATGTTAATTTGAGGTGAAAAGTCTAGACAAAACCCCACCAGTCTCCACCCATCCCTAAGCAGGAGAACCGACTAGTACCTGAACAGGAAAGCCCACCAATCCCTGATCTCCCCCAACCTCAGGACCAGCCCTCACTCTTGAAATCCTTGCCCTAGAAAGCTCTGCCCCTTAAAAAAATCCTATGTAAGGGCTGTGTCTGCCCAGTTCCCAGCTGCCTTCTCCTGGATTTGTCCCTCCTCTCCTAGACTCATCCCTCCAATAAATCTCCCTTAAGAGATTTACTGCCTGGTGTGACTCTCATCAGAAGCAGCAAAGAAGAGAAGATGCCAAAGAGGGAGTGGGACTGAGGCCCCTGAAATCCTCAGCTCAGCTGGGAATATCATCCCCTGGAGCTATTTGAGGAGCTGGTTGGTTTCTGGACTCTTTAGTCCTAGGATACCTTTCCTCAGGGCTTTAACACTTTCCTTGGGAATACCTTTTCCCCTCAGTGCTGTGTGATTTCTGGATTTCAGAGGCCCATGGTACCCTTTCCATCTGAGTGGCGAAGACAATACCAAGCAACCTGTTATCCTATAGCAATACCTAGCACCCTCAACCGAAAAAAGCTTCAAACCATGAAATAAATTGCTCTGCTTAGTACCACTTGATAAGCCTTGTTTATAGTCAAACACAATCTGGAAAACAGTCTGGAGCTGATTGAGACCAGTTTGTGGTGCATGTGCAATGAGGCAAAATGTATACTCAAGTGAACTTTCAGAAAGAATCCCTATTTACCATTCTGTGCTTTTGCACAACTGGACACGTATATGATAACAAAGCAGCTGCATTATGGGAAGATATATGAGCAATGACCAAAGGTCTATGGAAATCTGTTAACCAAAATAGAGAATGTAAAATGTGTTTTTAATGTTTCTTCTTTTTAAATGTTTTCTTTCCCTACAAACAGTAACAAGTTCTCTTAACTCCCTGCTAGCCCTCCTCCCAGTTTCCAGCCCAGCCCCTTAAAATGTTTCTCCCAACGTTCCTCCCTCAGTTAACCAACAGTGTGCTTAAACAGTGCCTTCTTTCAGTTTTCACAATACTAGCAGCTCCAAACTGAGACACTGTTCTAGCCTATCTGCTCAGCTTAGCTTCCCCTGGCTTAACTGCCACCAACTGTCTTCTCTGACCCTAGTCTTCTGCTAGCTGGACCCTACTACCTCTCTCCCAGTCTCTACTGGCTTTTTATATACTTTCCTGTTCCCAGAAGTCCAAGAGGTAACTGCCACTGAAGGTCATAGGGTCAACTGGAGGATCCTTTAAAGGGCCAAGCACACAAAATAAATCATACTACATTACGAGCAATGACCAAAGATTTATGTAATCTAAGTCTGTTGACCAAAATAAAGAACCACCCAAATTATGTCTCTAGTAACCAAGCTCTTCCTTCCCTTGAGCCCCATAAAATGAAACCCCAGGCAAGAAATTGGAACCCTTGAAAATTTTCACTCGTGTGGCCTGCTGCTCTCTGGCAGTGACCAGACCTTCCCATCGCTTCGCTTTGAATTAAAATTTCCATGTTATGTTTGCAAATCAGGGAGAACTTTTATTTCAGTTATTCCTGTAAGAGACAAGGATGAGGAAACACACAGGGCAGGCACCTCCAACGACTCTGCTTGTTACAACTCTGTGCATGGAGAAGGTTAGGGGAAAGTGTCAGGCTGTCATCGTCTCTCAGGCCAAGTGTTGAAGGTTCAAGGCTGCAGAGATTGAGACTTCTGGTCAAGCAGCACCACATAATCATTGACCCAGTTCTCTGTGGGGTCTGCACAGATAAGTCTGCCCTTCTTGGTCTTGAAGCTGTGGAGAGATGGCATGCTTAGAATTCGTGTTTTACATGCAGCAAATGTGCAGCTTGATCTGCATGTGAGTTCGCCAACAACTGGAGTGAGGACCCCTCTGACTCTAACGCCTGCTTTTGGATCCCATTTCCCCTAACTGAGCTGCTTTGTCTGGCCTCAGTGGGAGAGGATGCTCCTAGTCCTGCAGCAATGTGTCAGGGTGGGTTGGTATCCATGGGGACCTTCCCTTTCTCTGTGGAGGAGAGAGGAGCATGGGAGAGGAGTGTGAGGGGGAGGGCCGGGAGGAGAGGGGGAAGGCTGAAATCAGGACATAAAGTGAATAAGTAAGTAAGTAAACAAGCAAATAAATAAGTAAATGAATGAAGTAGTGCTCTAGGGCTCTGCTCAAGGACTGAGCAACAGGTCGACAGACCTCATCTACTCTTGCTCCAGAGATGAAGGAGTTGCTTGGTAGGAGGGGAGGATGAGGAAGTGTGGAAGGAAAAACCCTGAAGATGAAGCCCTGATCTTGCTCTCCTAATTGAAGCTGTTTCATCTACTGGGTAAAGGGAGTGGGGAAAATCCCTCTGAGCGTCTGGAAAATTATGGATTCCTTCTCCTCAAGTGAGTTTCCCTATGTGAGTAAGGAGTCATTCAGATAAGGGGCTGGATTTGTTTGACTCATTTGCCAGTGCATCCTGACCACTCTCCCTTGACTCTTTGCCTGGTTGCTCTGGGTGGGGATTACTTACACCACAGCTTCCCAGGAACACTGGATACTGGTGATTCTTCTGTAGCTCTGCACCATCTTAAAGGGGATCCTCCTTTTTATTGCAGCAAAGCAGCAGGAGACTGGGACGAATGCCTTATCTGGAAGCATTTTTTGTAAAGAAAGAGGGTTGGGGAACATTTCAGGGTGCTCTTACAGGAGAAGTGAAGTCTGCACTGCACCTAGCACTCATAGCTCCCTAGTTCTGTATCTAGATTTTAGTGACAGAATATGATCTAGGAATCTGTGTCTTCAGTTGAACTACAAGATTCTTCACTGTTGATTGTTTATAATGAAATCTCATTGACTGATGCCCTATTTCTGACACAGGAAAGTAAGTTCTGAGAACTTTCTCTCCATCACCTTGCTGCTGTGGGCTCAGAGTCAGCCTATATTTAATCTAAGAAGCCTCTCCAGTATCCATATGTGAGTGCTGTTCTGGAAGCCTCTCTGGCCCATGACCACAAAGCACTTCTTCAAGCAATTCCTGTCACTCCTTTACTGTTTGAGATGTCTTTCTCATCCACAGGGCCACGTCTGGGCCACCTCCCTGAACACGGACAGAGCAGTGCCTATAATGGCTGCATGTGGCATCTTGTTCCAGAGCTGGTGTCATGAGACATCACAGTGATCTAAGCCCTTTGTTTTAGCTCTCCAACTAGCTGTGACACACTGGCTCTTGCTAACTTCTTTCGCAGTTTTGGTCTCTCCGCCTTAAAACTGAAGACCATCCAGCGGCTCTGCGATACCTTGTGCTCAGATGTTAGTGTCAGCTAAACCATTAACCTTAGGAAAGAAGATGCCATACCTGGCCCAGCCTGCTCCTCTGGGCTGACAGTGACAGCTGTGAGCAGCAGGCACAGAAGCACTATGTAGATCTTCATGTTGAGGGCCAGGGCATTGGAGTGAAGGCTGGAGTCTTCTGGGCTGCTCTAACTCTGAGGCTTCAGCTGCCTTTTATCTGCAGGGAGCCTGGCAGAGAGTCACACCCACTGAAAGATGAAAGTAAGATCTGTGTTGTATTGAGCAAGCATCAGACCATAGGGTGATTTTCTGGAAGCTGGAAGGAAACTCAGCACTTATCATCTTTTTGCTAACTTAGACTATGAAATAGAAACTGAAAGGTAAGCATCGGAGCCCAGCAAGATGTAGGAAGTGGTCCCATTGGATGGGGAATTCTGATATTCTTGGAATGGATAAACATCTGTATAGAAGAAAGAAGAGAAACTAAGGTTACCATGTAGTAAGGAAAGGCCAGAGTCTTCATTTTGGAGGGTTTTAGGAGGCCAGAGATAGGCCCAAGTCTTTGCCTGTTACCCTTTTCACACTGGGCTAATGCAACCCTAAAGCAAGTGTGTTCCTCAGAACCCAGATGGGCTGCAAAGAACCCTGGGAAAGTGTAGCAATGGTGTAGTAGCACCAAATCTCACTCAAGTCTGCAAGTCTCCTCTTCTGCCTCCTCCCTTCTCTTTTGTTACTAGGAATTTTACATGTTAGCCAGGGCCTTGTACATGGTAGGTAGGTAAATATTTTAGCACTCAACTGAAGCTATACCCCAGCCCTTTCTTTTAGGATTTTTGTTTGTGTGTTGTTGAGATGAGGACTCACTTGGCAGATCTGGCTAGCTCAGAACTTAGGTTGTCCCCAGTCTGTCCTTGTTCTGTAATTCTCCCATATCAGTCTGACAAATGCTGGCATTGCAGAATTGTTTCACTATGTCTGGCTCAGCCTGAAAGTTCTGGAGAACTGGGAGGCATGTGCTGATCCTGAAATAGAGGGTGTCCTGTGGCAGGTGGCATCCCGAAGGAGCACAGCTCTCTATATCACACAGGTTTATGTTTCCTGGCAGAATCCTTGATACATGTGTGCCTTTTTGTCTGCAACTTCCATTCACAATAACCCTGTTGGCCATGCACCCTGTTCCATGTGTGTGGAGGCCAAATAGTGTTATTCCCAACAGTGCTAGGAAGCCCATTCCTAGGAGCGAGTATAGGCAAGACTTCCTACTTGAAAGGAAGGAAGAAAGCAAGGAAAGGAAGGCAGGAAGAAAATCTTCAAGTGAGAAACATAGTTGGTAAAGCCACTCAGGAAGAAATCTCTCGATTGTATCCAATATATTAGCCGTCATGAGGTAATGGCTAATATTTCATGATTTTCTGGGTTTTGTTCTCTGTCAGACAAAACATTTAAATGCAACACATAGTAGCACATTATATTTAAAGTTTCAATAATCAAGAAGACACCATGACTGAAAAAGCAGCTTAGCCAAAACTCCCCAGCATGCCATGAGTCATATTCTTTAATCAGACTGCACATTTTTCCTGTGTCTACAAAATCTTTTCCCGAAATGAAGACTTGTTTCAAGTAAGGTTTGAAGTTTGAGTAGGCAAACAGACATAACAAAGCATGATGAAATAAGGACAAAAATCTTCATTTGAATCATCACTAAAATAATAATTTATCACTGTTTGTCATTTAGAAAATACAAAAAAAAATTCCAAATGCTTTGGACAGTTTTCAAAATATCTAAACATGAAAAATAATGTAAGAAATAGAGAAACTGAGAATTGGGGATATTGTTGGGATCTTGAGGTTAAAGTTATTTGGGATGCTCAATTGTCTTTGTAGATGAAGAAATAGGTAAAATTTTTGAACCAAAGTGTTTATCACCTTTAGTAATAAATGAATCTTAGAATTTGTCATCTTAATAGTTATAGCATAAAAACAGACACATTGATTGATGCTTAGAAATGAGGACCCAGATATAAGTCCACACACGTACTGCCACCTACTACCAATTTTTTACTAAGAGGCCATAAATACACACTTGAAAAAAGACAGGGTTTTCAGCAAATAGTGCCGGTCAAACTGGATAGTGGCATGTGGAAGAATCAAGCTAGATTCTTGTTCCTCAGCTTGTATATAACTCCAAATGGATCAAGGGCTTCAACATTAAGACCTGACACCATGAAACTGAGAGAAGAGAAAGTAAGAAGGATCTTTGAACCCATAGACACAGAAAAAGACTTTCTTACCTGATAGCATAGATATTAAGATCACAGTTAACAAAAGGGGCCACATGTTTTGTTTTGTTTTGTTTCTGTAGAGCAAAGAACATAGCCATTCAAGTGAAACAGCAGCTTACAGAACAGGAAAATATTTACCAACTGTACATCTGAGAGAGGGTTAGCATCAAGAATACAAAAAGAACTCAAAAAATTAAACTTCAAGAAGACACCAAGTTAAAAGTTAGAGCAAGGTACAAACGAAGTTCTCAAAGATGAAGTGCAAAGGATTCTCTCTCTTTCAAATGTTCAACAGCTGTAGACATCAGGGAAATTCAAATCAAAACTACTTTGAGAATTTTATTATCTCAATAAGAATGGCTAAGAAAAAAAAAATCCAATAGTAACAAGTGCTGGAAAGCATATGAGGAAAAGGAACTCCTGATGGGAATGCAAACTGGTGCAGTCACTATGGAAATCAGTGTGGAGACCTAGAAATTTATCTACTAAATGACCTAAACTATACTACTCTTAGGCATCTACCCAAAGGACTATGTATCTTACTATGGAAATACTTGCTCATCTATATTCAGTGATGCTCTATTCACAATATTCAGGAATTGAAAACAACCTACTTGTCCATCAACTGTGAGTAGTTACTAAAAATGTGGCATATTTGCATAACAGAGTATTATTCAATCCTTATGAAAAATAAAACTAAATGAAATTAATAGGCAAATAGATGGAGTTGGAAGCAATTATTTTGTGTGAGGTAACCCAGGCTTAAACATCACTCTCTCTGACATGTGGATAGTAGTTTTGAATATTTAGATATATGTTGTTTTATTTGGAATAAACACAGATATCCAGAAGCGAGGAAGGGGGCTTTCAAGTAAGGGAAATAGAATGAAGTTATATAAAGGGGGAAAGTAGGATAATGGGAAAGGAATGGTCAAATAGAGTGGGAGATGGGAGGACAGGGTAGAGAAGGGAGAATGGGAAGAGCAAATAACAGTAAAGCCTCTTTGAAAAAGTCATATTGAAATGTATTACTGTAGAACAGCCCCAAAATATATGATTATACATAAACAAAGTATTTTAAATGGGGTTACTCTATAACACAGGGTCAGTACCTCTAATAGGTACCACAGGCTGATAAATTAAAAAAAAATCCAATGTGAGGATGGGTTACTTGTTTTGGAGTTGTTTGGAGTTCCACAGTTGCCATTGCAGAAACAGTAACCTTGCAAATTAACTACAGATTTTATTATTCAGTTATTTTTAGAGATTCTAGTGGCAAATAGACTTTGTTCCATAAACAAAAACAAAACAAAGAAAAAAAAAATCAAAACCCAACATGATTGTTCTGTTGCCCAAGACTTAGTTTAGCATAAAAAAAGGACAAGATTCTCTGCTTGGATTTTAAAATATTATCAATGCTTTCAAGTTTGAGTTAATGTAATTAATCATAAGACCACCTGGAATGCTAAATGCTATGTTTAAAATATGTCTCTTTTCTCGAACTAAACTATCTGTAAAGCGGGTTAACTGGTTAGACTTAATGACTGTAGAGAGGTTGGAATGCTGCAAGTCTATAGCCTAATTACAATTTACCTTGAACTGTCTTTAGCATCCTAAATAACCATTGCTTGCCCATATCTGTGTGGGACCTAACATCCCGTGACTGACAGATTGAAACCATTTATAATGTATTAACTTACCAGAGCTCTAATTGCCACCAACAAAAAAACTATGCATACCATCAGACAGTATCTTGGGCCCATAGTAGAAGTTTCTCCACTTGGCTGTTTTACTTAATGTTTCTGTCTTTGTATTTAAAAAGTGTCTTTATTTATGAGTTTCTTTACTCTGCTGCTGTACAAAATTTATCAAACTGTTACCACCTTGGGAAATGGACTTTGAGGTAACATAAAATCCATATGTCACTCATATTTAGCCCCAGAATAATTCTTCCCTTTGAGGTGATAGTTATGGTTTTGACCGAAGAGTGGCAGTGAAGAAAATTGAATGCTAATAAATAAACAGACTCAATGATCTGGAAAAAGAGCATAAACAGAATGTGTTGAAATAAAAAAAGGACGTCCAAACAAACAGAATTTTAATAGTCAGCTTATATTAAACCAGTGGACCACGAACTGTATCAAAAGAAGTCGAGACCAAACAGATTTCACCAACATCTATGCAAGGAGTCATCAAAGCATGAAAGCATGGGCCTTGGAGAGCAGCTGTGGCTAGGCCCTGAGTGGCAGGGTTGGAGTCTCTTGAAACCACCAGGCATGAAGGAGCTGCATCAAGAAGCTAATGCTTAGTCCCAGGTGTCACATTTGTTGGCCTTGAAGAGGTCAGAAGAGAGACAACTTGTAGAGGAGAAGCCTCAGTTTCAGTGTAGACTCCCACATATTAGAGATTCCAGGATCAGGAAAGCACCACTAAAGATGGCAGAAGCTGAGGAATGGAAACAACCTGAGCCTACCAGGTGTTCTGTGTATGCTGCAGATGGCAGAGTTGGAGAACTGGAGCTACCAAAATCCTTTGGTTCTCAAAAGATCTAGAGTGAGTCTATGTGTCACACACTGAACAAGTTACACAGTTGAATTTTGGTTTACTTTGATTTGTTTGGAAATGTGCAGTGATTCTTCCCTCTTGGAACAAGAAAATAGATAACTTAGTATCAATTTTAAATTAGCTTATATTTAAGAGACTTAACTTTTAAAGATATATTTTTGAATTTTAAAAACGATTATACAACCTTTACAGTTATACCATGTTTTGTATTATGGTTTCAACATGAAATACTTGAGATAAACAAGAAAGGACAGGTGATGTCAAAGTCGACAAAGGGTGGAATAGCATAGTTAGTGTCGGTTTAACACACTTGGCAAGAAG